ATTGTTCCAAATTTGAAGATGACTAGTATGCAGTATGCAGATGACTCCACTCTAATTATTCCAGTTTGGAAGGGTGATCTTATTTAATGTTTAAAGTATGCAAGTTCAGTCTTTATGAATGTAAAGATACTTCAGACCTAGATGATAAAGATGACATGACACTGAAAAGGGCTTGCACGTCATCACTACAAATATGGCATCATAGAGGCAGACAAGAAAGTATAAAACCCCAGCCTGTTATGGTGCTATCAGTAACAAAAACAAACCTTGATGAAGTACAAAACTCTGCTAAAGAACCTGGTATACACTGTCTACCATACGAAGCCAGAAACTCAGTTGCTTTGCGGAGAGAATGGGAGATAACACTTCAACAAAAAATGAGAGAAATAAATCCTAATATAGCATTAGCTCAAATCATGACTCCCTCTAGCGAAAGCACTGAACATGTGGATACAAAGTCCGGCAGAAGCCCAATAGGGTCATATGACAGTTATCAACTTCAGGTTACAGAAGCAAATTTCCAAGTCTTTTGTAACATTGACGCTGTTACAAGAACTGCACATGAGACAGATTCCATTAGATGAGTTTCCTCAGTTTCCCTGTGGTGGCAAGATTGAATCCAACTACTCAAGTGATGCAGAGTCTGAACAAAATCTGTTAGATCATCTAACCATTGACGAAAAAAAAAGGCTCAGTAAAATTGAACAAAAAACTAAAATGCAATCGAAATCTGATGAATGGAAAGAGGAGAGAATGTTTAGGATAACTGCTTCTAACTTTGGATGAGTGCCAAAACGACAAAGGAATCATGACTCCCTTGTAAATGCCTTGATTGATCCTAAGCCATTTTCATCAAGATACACAGCTCATGGTAATAAATAAGAGCCAATAGCATTGTTGGAGTATCAGAAGTACATGTTTTCTATTAGGCAACCCCTTAAAGTATTCAAGTCTGGTTTCATAGTTTGTTTAGAGGTGCCTTGATTGTGAGCTTCACCTGATGGTTTGGTCATTGACAATAAATGTACTAAACAATGTGGTCTAGTGGAGATAAAGTGCCCAGCATCTAAATTCTCAGTGTCTCCATTAGATGCATGCTCAGATCCAGGATTCTGTTTAGAAGAAATAGATGGAAAGGCCACACTTAAAAAGAATCACAATTATTATGTGCAGGTATTACATCATTGTTTATCTATATTTATCACAACTTTTTTTAATATTGTTTATAGATCTAACCCCTAATTGCAAGGATAATTTCAAATCTGACCCTCCACAGGAATTTGGGTAAAAAGGTGAACGCACAGGCATGCTAAAATGACATGCTAAACAATGGGTAGTGAGTTAAATGACATACAACTCTGCTAGCAGTGTGTCAAATGGCACGCCTAATCAAAATTTTGCTTTTGTTTTTATCGTATGCTGAAAACAAAACCATGTGTTCAGTCGACCAAAGAAGTGTGCCAAGCTTGTAAAAACAAAGAAACCTTGCAAAATGACACGCTAGTGAGCAAAATGGCACACTGGCGAGTGGGCATCTAAATGCAATTGCCACAAATACACCACCTTGGAACTGCATTCTTTACTGGGCCTGGTTGCAGGTCATCGTCGTTGTCATCAGGTAGAAGCCTTCTCACGAAATCGCCCGTTGTTTATCATATGAGCAATCGTCTCTGCTGTCCCTCTCTTAAGTCGTCTATGAATGTTTGGTTTCAAAGTGAAAAAGAGATATTTTTCATACAGCTCAATCTCAGCCGAAACAACCTTCAGGTCAGGTAAAACAAATTTTACATCAGCGATGTGTGCTGTGTTATATTTTATTATATTTTACCTCGATTTCCTCCCTTGCGTTTTCTATATCTCGTCTTTGCCTTTCCTTTGAATTCTGTAGCAAGCTCCCAGGTGCTACTATTTGAAGATTCTGTCATATTGCAATTGAAATGTTGTCAATATTTCGGAAGCGGAGACTAAAAGTAATTGGTAAAACAATCACATTCCAGTTTTGGGCTACACAAAATTAAAGAAACCTCTTACCATGTTCGCACATGGTTTTTGCAACGTCCCACATTTGCATTGTCCTGCGACACATGATAAATTGCTTGTACCACATGGACAACCACAGTTTCTCTTGGTCTTGCACGCACAATTGCATTTACAGTAAGTCCTATTTGACTCTGCTTCGCCTTCAGGCTTAACTTATTCTGGTTCAAGATCTGCAATCTAAATGAAAAAAGCTGTGTGCGTGAAGGTAAGTTCTTCGATCACGACGATAAACTAGCTATGAAAGCATGTTGAGGCTTTGAGATCATCTAAAAGAAAAAAATTCACTTACCACACTCCCATAATTTTTTACCCGTGGTCCCGGGCCCTCTTGTCCCAATAAATCTGCCTCAACTAAGCTATTTGCCGTGTCCCTAGTTTAGGCCGCCATCTTGGATTGACCTGTACGTCGGACTCAGAGTTCATCAAAACAATAACAAATGCGCACAATGTATGCCAGTTGACAGAGAGTCTTTAAGTGCAGTATTATTCTTGTAAGAACTGAAAAGCTCTGAATTTAAAAGAAGACTACTGGGCATTCCACACTTAACCTCCGTACAGTCAATTATAACTCTTGTAGAGGGAAATTTCTCCTTAAATGGTTCTGGCATTGTTTCCCTAACAACTCGCTGTGAAGGCCAAATGTTTATTGTTCCAAATTTGAAGATGACTAGTATGCAGTATGCAGATGACTCCACTCTAATTATTCCAGTTTGGAAGGGTGATAGTGATAGTAATACTGCTGCTCATGTAGTTAATAACTTTACAGAATGGTCTATCGATAATTCCATGAAGTGTAATATCTCTAAATGTAAAGAACTGGTTTTCTGAAAGAAGGGCTACAAGAATGTATTAGACACAGTACAGAATATCCCCCAACAATCACATCTATGTATTTTGGGGGTTACATTTCAAGAAATTGTAGGTTCTCTATTCACATCAAGAATAAGTTGGCCGCAGCTAATAAATGCCTCTATATTCTTAGAACTCTTAGTAGGGAGGGTTATTGTCAGGCAGAGTTGGACAAATTATTCAGCGCTCTGGTTCTGCCTAAACTTACGTACAGAATATCAGTATATGGTTCATCTCCACCAGAACTTACTACCATACAATGCTTCCTGGATCGTTGTTACAAACGTAGATACACGTCTTCTCCGGTTTCTATTATCAATTGCTTAGATAAGTCTGATATAGGTATCTTCAAAAAATTAAGCGCGTGGGAACATCATCCATTGCNGTTAGCTCAATTGGTAGAGCGCTGCACTAGTATCGCAGAGGTCAGTGGTTCGAATCCCGTACAGACCTGAAATTTTCTTTTCAGGTCTGATTTTCACTATTGCTCAAATAGTGCTTTACTGCGAAGGATCGTGCACATATACGTTAAGCCAATATATCCACTTTGCAATACTGAGCGTTTTAAAAATTCTTTTTTAGTTTTAAGCATAACTTAGCTGTAAGTAATTAATACATATTTTAGCCCATTACACTTTATATGTAACACTTGATATGTATTTTATCAGTGAAATAAAGACTATTTATTTATTTTAAGAGAAGGAAATTCATCCAGGCAGTAAAACTCCTGCTAATTGTAGAATCAACAAAATCAAACAAATGAGAGAGATGATGCATGCTAAAACCCTGACGCAAGCAACACATAACCATAAAAAATTCTGTCTCTGTAGAGAGTTTCTTGGGTCTTCCCTTTTTAGTTTTTGTTTGGTAGTCCTCTTACACAGTATCCTGGTCATTATAATAATCATCAGGGACACCACTGTCTGATTGGTTGCAATACCTAATGTTTTCTCCTTGTAATCCAGGATTTATGGAATCATAAATTGTCCAAAAAGTTGCATAGTTCGGAAAACTTGTGTAAAACGACATTTCTTTGCAAGATTCACGAAATTTTTTGAGACTGACGAGCCTTTTAGACAACAGCTCTTTTTCTTGCTCAAGAGATTTGTTTGGGCGCATTAAATCTAGATTGTTTTTTTTGCAGAGCTTTGATGCATCTGAGACTTTCTTTGTTGCTTGATTCTGAGTCCTTTTTAAGTTCTTGGAGTTCAATTTTTAAATGAAGAACCTCTTTTGAAAGAAGATTTTCATTACTTAGATGTTCCATATCACCTTGCAAAAGTTTACTTAGTCCTTTAGACATTTTACTTTGCCATTTAGCTGTCCAAGTTCTTCATTTAAAAGTTTCTTTCTACACTAGTTTCTGAAGGAAGATCGGCAGAAATATCTTGTGGCCAAATAACATGACATACAGGAGATGTTAATGCCGCCTTGTTGGTTTTGCTCATGGCTTTACGAAGAGGAGAACATCGTTGTGTTGGTGCTTTTCTTTTCTTTGGGGACTGTTTTTTCCATTCAAGTTTTGAAGGTACTGCATTACTTTTTACAAAAATCCTCCCGTTTAAGGACTTTTGTAGATCAGATGGATGAAAATGAAGCGAGCAAACTTTAGTTGACTTCACGATCGTGAAGTCTTTCCCTTCTTCCCTTTGTATGGCATGAATCCACTTTTTACGCAAGATCAGGTCCTTTGGAAAGTTGAAGAAAGAAACAGGCCTTCTGTTGCCATCTAAATAGCCAGTTTGTGTACATTTTGGCACCCGGCAGTACGTTGGCATGATGAAACAGCTCTACATAGACAGACTCGATGTTGATGGTATGTATACTGACTAGCCTCGTTTTCGATTATTTTCATCACCTGTCCATCTGCGCGAGCCGAGCTGTCTGTCATTTTTCTAATTGGTGTATTGTGCTAAATTTGATATGATTTCCTCATTTTGATAAGAAACTACAGTGTAGGGCATTAAGAGTATTTTCTTCTGTGATATTTATTGGTACACGACAGACATACTTTATTACTCCTTTTCAAAACTTACAGTAGGCCCACCAGTACTTTGTGTGGAAATCATTTCTTGCTGACCTGGTCCTCGTGGCACAGCACGCTTGGGATCTACCTGAAAGTGTTGCAGGAAAGTCTATGTAACACACTCTTAAAACCTACAGTTAAAAATAAGTAAAAGAAACTTATTCAACCACCTACAGTTGTAAATATCTCTATTCACAACACTATGCTGAAAAATGTTCTTTCATGGCCAAACTAAGGAACTGATGTAATTTTTTTTTGCATATTTCTAGAGGAATTCCATTCCAGAGCTTTGTCCCAAGAACCTGAAAGGTCCTGCCACCTTCTATTTCTCTACTGTAAAAAGGACACATTAAATTATGATTCCCATGGCGACTAACCAAACTGTATGCCAGCAAGCACTGATGAATGCCAATTGAACAAAGCCTTACAGTAGGTACATCACAAGGCTCCAGGCTAAAACGTCCCATTAACTACCTTGTCATTTAGAGAATGGTCCAAAGTTACCGATTTTTGGACATGACTTTTGTATCACTTCACAATCATGGTTTGGAACTTTTGTAGCCCTCTAGCTTACACTTTGCATTCAAGAAATGATGCATGTAATGTACCCACTTCCACCCACCATCAGAATCATTGCTTTGGTAGTTTAATGTTGTGCAAAACAAACACAAAGATCCAAGATTACAGTGTTTCAAGTTCCTGCCTTCAAACACTTTGACCATTATACAAGTAGATTGACAACTTGCTGGTATTGCCATTAATCATCAATATCTCTCTAAAAATTTCAGGCTTCACATTGTGCCATCCAAAGTGACTAACTAGATTCTGCGGCATGTTAAAACTACTGAAATATTTCAATTGGAAAAGGCTGCAAAGATATTCTAGAACCTTTCGTTAACTTTGCTCACTGAACCAAGGTTAATTAAATTTTTATCAGTGCAAGGTCTTTTTTTAGGCTTTGCAGAGCAAGAAGGCTTGAGATCTTGCTGAATACCCTGTTTTTCAACACAGCTTTGTTGGGGATTGAAAAACATCGACACTTTAACAGCCTTATCCAAGAAATGAAGTTGCGACAAACTATTTCTCAACTATGTTGTCTTTAATCTGGATGGTGACTTATTCACAAAAAGTATGAATCGCAGTGCAAGTTACCTAAGAAAACCTTACTTTTAAGCTTGTCTAAGAAGTAAAACGCAGACAACTATTAGCATACCTTCTTGTTGTCAAGGATGTGTTCAGCATTTTGGCACACGTTATCTACTGAAGCAGGATCTTGAAAAGTGACAAATCCGAAACCCCTATGAGACATATCGAAATCAAGCTCAACCGTTGACTCTACATTAACTTAAAGTACTAGCTATATGCGACCGGTGTAAAGTCAAGGAAATTGATCCATCGGTTTAGATGTAAACAATAATTTATACCTTGAACGTTTCGTGGTGTTATCCCGCATAACAATGCAGTCTGTGACTTCACCGAACTCACTGAAGTACTCTTGAAGGCTCTCTGAAATTCAGAAAAACAAATTTTGATAAGAAACAAAACACGTGGCACATTCTCGTTCAAAGAGGAACTAAGAAATCTCCTTCTTCACAAAGTTAAAGTGCATCATAAGCTCACTTCACCTTTAGTAGTTTCTGTGGATAAGCCCCCGACAAATATTTTCCTGAAAATACTAAAGAAAAAGCAGATTGCAAACATTTCAGCTGGTGGTGTTCACATGTAAATCATCGATCGTAACTCGCGAATGAAAAATGTGAGAAAGTTTTGTTGGCTAATTCCACGGCTCGAAAATATCCTGAAGGACGATGGAGCCACGTATGGAACTTAAAGCCAAGATTCTCACCCAATATCATCCCCCTTGCTTGTACCTCGAACCATTTTTGTGTTCAACATTCGTAGAAAAATAAGAAATCAGTTTGAATACTTCAGTGAAGTGTATCAAGGCCTACACGAACAGGACGCCAAACCAATGAAATATCCCGGATTAAATTACAAAAACCACGTGTTACACATGTCCCTCGAGGTTGTCCCGGCTAATTCGGGTCGCCTAACCAGACACGACTCAAGGAATCTCGGAGTAGATAATTTAACTTGTGCAATTACGGCTACCATTTTGAGGGAAGTTAAAATTAAGTAACTTACATTTACTGAATGTTTTTAATTTACCGGAAAATGTCAGAGCCTTTCTATACAAGTCATTTGAAGTCTCCAGCATCTGTCAGTTAATTTGGTTAGGCAGCGGACGTTAAAGAACCCACTTCACGAGATTACTGTGAGGTGGTCTGGCCTGTTTATTAGGAATTTGGGGGAGGGGGCATCTGTAAAATTTCTTCTTTGTTAATTGAGCACTGCCGCTGGCAGTCTGGAAAATGTTCTCCGCCCAGGGTTGTAAAGCGCATTAGAACGTTGCATGGAAATGCGCTATACAAATTGATATTGCTATTCTTATTTGAATGTGCTGTTTCAACTCAATGACCTCAGGTAAATTTCCCAGAGACTGAATTAAATGACATGCAACACAACAGATCACTCAAACGCATATGAAAAAAGTTACAAGAAGTACGTGATCTGAACAGAGGTTGTGTTACACCCCTTTCAGCAATCAGGAATGTTTTTAAAGGTGAAGTTCCATGACCCGAATCAAGTTTATTTCTATTGTTTCAGTTCCCTAGTAGTAGCCAATGAAAAAGGGTGAAGGAAACGCGAATTTACACGCTGGCAGAACACTCTACTCTTCAAAATATCGATAATATGGTGAAATAAACACGGAACTGCGAACGTATTCGTCCTTTGAAGTCTCTTCACAATTTTGAGAGATCCCTCGAAAATGGCAATGTGTGAGTATGCTAGGATTCCTAAACGAAGTTACATGTTAATTGTATGAAGGGATCAAAGTATACGTCTGACATTGACTGTGTTATGCTAATTATTTTTTTTTTCGCTCTTTTAGCTTCTATTCTTGTGATCCTGGCCGTGGCCGGTGGAATATTCTCTGCCAGTATCGCAATAGTAGTCTGCACCTTTGCGTTTCGCTGTAGAAGCAGAAAACTCGCAAAAATGAAGAACAACAGTCACACACGAGAAATCCAGGAGTTGGAACCTATTCTGTCATCAGCACACGACAGCGTAGAATTAGGTGATGAGGAGAAAAACAAAGGAAATGTCTCTCCGTGTCCATCTTGCCGAAAAGTGTCAACGTTTTACAGTCCATGCGAGTGTGACATGATTTCTGCTCAAAAATTAGAGAATAAACCGTGTCAATTGCAGTTTTCTCTTTATTACAATTTCCATAAATCCCGCTTATTCATTAATATCATGTGTGCATTAAATGTTCCAGTACGATGGTATGGAAAGCACCCGCCAACACAAGTGCGATTCCAACTTCTGCCAGACGACTCCAACATCTATCGAACAGAAATCAAACACAGCACAGCAGAACCAATATTTAACGAAACATTCGAGTTTATTGGTTACTCAGAGAACGAACTCATGGAATTAACCCTTCGCCTTGGTCTGTATGGATATGATAAGTTTAGCAGGGGGAAAATGATCGGCTACACGGATGTGCGATTTAATTTGGAGAAATTTCACCCTAGTGAGCCAACGATAATATGGAGGAAATTGTTACCCAAATCTCAGGTAAGATAAGCTTAGACCGGGTTATGACCCTGTTTCAGTTACCCTTATAGTATAACGTGCAAATGAAAGACGGTAAATTGCAGAGGACTATAATTAGACGGCATTATTAAATAATTACGATGACAATGCCGTTTGACATTCTTAACTTGCACTTCCTTATTAATTTCAATGTTGCGTTTTTGGTGTTGAAAGATGTTTTGAAGTACTTAACGAATTTCAAATATGCACAGCGCAGAAGTTCAGGTTCTTAGTTTCATCTCGCGCGGAAGCTGAATGCCATGTTTCAGCTGTGAAGGAAAAAGCGAAACAGACAACCCAGTGAACTCCACAACACTTTCTGACAGAAGGAAATTCCGTATAATAGCCATCATGAGTCTGCCTCTGTAGAAAACAAGTTGAGTTGCATGAGTTGCGCGTGGGGAGAATTAAGGGTAAATCGTCTCATTTATATCTTGCATTGTTGTCACCATTAATCTGGAGTCGTAATCACGCAACTATCTAGGAACATTAACTTGCGGCTATCGATTCTAACTTGTAACACTGGATCATTGGACACCTCTCAGTTGTCCTCTCGGTGTCACTATTTAGTATTATCGGTTGGTGTCCATGAGCATTCACAAACTACACTGTTCTTGACGGTAATTCAAAACCTCTTCATTAGACGAAGTATACTTCTTGTTGACCTTTGTAGAATTCGGAATGTTTGAGCTATTTGGAAAAAGAGGTTTTCTATTCCAATTGAGGACAAGCTTATCTTTTCACCTTTTAAACTGGACGCATAGCTGCGTGAACTCGGGCTTTCAATATGGCACATCTGAAGTTATCTTCATAGGGGACTGCCATAATGCCATTGTTATTGTCGTCACGCGATTTCGTAATTGCTGGTCACGAATAAGTCCACTTATGTTTTTGAGTTATTTTTTTTTTAAAATAATAACTGTATGTTAGCGTATAGATTAGTCTCCCTTGCAGCCCTTTCCCGCGTCGTCACGCAAGCGACGTTGGTGGGGGGAGTTTTCGCTTGCGTGACGACGCCGGAAAGGGCTGCAAGGGAGACTACGAAGACTAAGTGTAGATTGGTGTAATTTGGTGAAGTGTAATCTGATCAGCGCACTTTGGTGTATCTCTAAGCAATCTGATTGGCGCATCTTTTTTTTGGTGTATCTCAAAGCAATGTGATTGGCGCAATTTTTTGGTGTATCACAAACCAATCAGATTGTAGTATTTTTGGATGTCGCACCAATCAGAGCGTTCTTGCTAATTTGTGGTTTGACAGGTCTTCAAATTTCTGCGAATCAACGCGTGACTCGTGGAGAGCGGTTCGCGAATTAAGGAAACGTATAAGTCGTGTTGGGAAAGCGGCGGAGTTGAGATCAATGTACGACTATGGTTATCCTTCGTTCTAAAGGAGACTGAGGCCCTGTTTACAAGCAAGGAGGGTAACCCTTGGGCTAGGGTTACCCTCGTAGGCGGGTCAAAGACAGCCCGGGTTTGCAAGCAAAATTTCACAGGTAGGGTTACCCTACCACCCGGGACAACTTACTTATGCTTGGTAACCGCACGCATTGTTATTAATGTTCAAAGGGTCTGGAAACAAGTAAAAAGTTGTCCCGGGTAGGCGAGTTATCCCCACCAGAGCGTTTACAAGGCAGCTAGGGTTACCCCAGCGCTCAGCTAGGGTTACCCTAGTGCAACTAGGGTAACCCTAGGTTAGGGTTACCCTAGTGCAGCTAGGGTAACCCTAGCGCTCAGGGTTACCCCTCAGCGCTAGGGTTAACCCTCAGCGCTAGGGTTACCCTAGTGCTAGGGTAACCCTAGCTGCCTTGTAAACACGTCGATGAAAAAAAGAAGAAATGTGGGAGCGTTAGGGTAACCCTCCTGCCAGGGTAACCCTAGCACTAGGGTTACCCTACCTGCTTGTAAACAGGGCCTGAGTGGAACACGAGAAAAATTTTGAATCAAATATTGCTTGAGATGTTGATGGGAGTAACTTCAGAATACTCGGCCGCTATTGACTGTTATGAATGGATTGCTCCCGCGGTCCCGAAGTCGAAAATTAATTTCGAAGAATAATTAAAGAAAAGGTGAAGTTTGCCAAGTGTTCACGTAGTCCTGCGCTTAATTTATTTCGTTTTCTCGACTGAGGGATATTTCATGGTTATACATGAATTCCTTTTTAATTTCGCTTAAAGAACAAGGTAAGAAGGACATCTACAAGGTCATCTGCCCAGTGTAATGGCTGTACTTCGTGAGGACTTTATCCGCTATGATCTGTCAGGATTAGAAAGGTCGTCAGGGAATTTTTTCTATAAATTGTAAGTTAAACGTGCATACTTTGTGTACCACTCCCTCACTTATAACGCAGACACCGTCAGCTAAAGGCCTAACACGAATTTAGTACCAGAGCGTGTTGTTTTGGATGGGGTAGTTTTGCTGACTCTGGTAAAACTTGCGCAAGGCATTTGCATAAATTATATTTGATTGATGATCTTGTTTTTTTGCCCTGTGGCTGCTTTCTTTGTGAAGGTTGAAAAGACCATCAAGTTATATAGTTACTTTCTGCGTCGACTGCCATGTCAAATATCCGTTTCTTTGCTTCTAAAAGTTCTCAGGAAATTAAATATTGTTTAAACGATACTTTCCCGCTGCAATTGCGTGTTTACTTTTTAATCGCCAGTATGGACTACACTTTCTCAGATTAAGTGCCATTTCCGGCAAACAACGTAAATTTATGATATAATTCCGCCTCACCGAAAAATATTTCATGAAGAGCATAATGGTACAGTCGTCAATTTTCCACGCAACTCGCACGTGCTTAGACGTTTTCTACCAATGAAATTCGTTTTTAGCTGCCTTGGACTTTACCCCATTGCGTGTCGACTCCCTCTTAAACAACCTGCATTTAATCACGTATTTCTCACGCACAGGGCAAAGTCCAGATAAGAAGCCCACATTGTTATGCTTTGAAAAATGATCCTTTTTTCTTCGTTTAGTCTATTTTCACTTGTTCGAAGAACGGAGACTGGAAAACATCTTTGTCCAGAGGCTGTTGGAGATAAAATAGAGCTTTCCACTGCAAAATTGTATGGAAGAATATTTTGAGGCGACTATCTGTTACTGAACAAGAGGCTCCACGGAGCCTATATTCTGGCCGGATCTGCGGTTCAGCGGATTGAATTCAATTGGTTCGAATTGAAGGCGTTGCTGTTTTAGCAAAATCGCTGTCTAGTGCTTTTTATTATTTGTTAACATGGAGAGTTGTGGAGATTAAGACTTTGGAACAAGTTGATGTCATCCATGACAATTTGGAAATACTAAAATTGCTAGAGGAAATGCTGGGTCGCTCAATAACAATTTGCATTTGAACGCGATGACTTTGCTTCTAAGGATTTATTCTGCTTACATCTAAAAACAAACCTCTGAAGTTTTTTTTGCCCCAGAACAATATATCCTTGAATTGACCGCAAGTTTTTTGACTGATTGAAATTTAAGGTATCTGGCAGTGACTTCCAGAAGTTTTTTTTTGTCAGAAAAGAAAAGTTCTTTCGTCCGCTATATTAATCTATTAATAGATCCAATCGTCAAAGGTTACATACGACAAGGGTTCTTGTTTTGATCAGTACGATAACAATAGAAGTGATTTACACTATTAGGTTTGTGCTTTGAATAAATATATTTAAGTTTGCTTGAAAGATAAGTTTAAACTGTAACAAGCTTGGTTATCGGCCCACTCGATGCCAAAACTCACCCTCGTTCCCAGGCTATGTCCACCACATTGCTTTACGCCAAATAAAAAAGTGCTACATAACGCCTATTGTGCATCTTTCTACACAGTAAATATAAAACGGAATTACTGATTGTGGCCCTTTATGGTCAGAATAATAATTGCGGTTTTGTCTTTCACAAAGAGGCGGCAATATGCATTATTATAGCCTACGAGCAGGTTGTTGTTTGGTCTCATCACGCAACGTCGAAGACAGAGCGTTACGTGACGAGTTCAAATTAGGGCTGTGGAGGGAACTGCAGGAAGTGCGGTGTCAATGCAGTTTATTATTGCCAACAATTATTCAGACACTAGCATCAGTTACTTAGTGTCCCATTTCAACCCACATATCCAAAAAAATAACTCCTGCATGCACAGCATGCCTTTGTTTTGTTTTTTGTTGTCTGCTGGAGTGTAATGCACGTTATGGTACCAGACAACAATCAAAATAATATTACCATATAGTAGATTCTTTGAATTTCAACCTTTGGCATCTGTAGGACTTTTCAATGTAATAATTTGGATTTATCAACAAAGCTGAAATGGTAAATTGGCCACCGTAATGATTACAAAAGCTGATGTTTCGAGCGTTAGCCCTTCGTCGGAGTGAATAGTGGAATTGTGGGTTGTGTGTGCTTTTAAAAGCAATGACTTTGTAGGGCAAGTGTTAGAAAATTGAAGGACCAATTTTGGGAAGGTTTGCATAAGCAATTTTAAAACTATTTAATATTATTTCTCAGCTTTTCAATGTAAGTACAGTAATTTTCAACTTGAAAATCGCTAAAGAAAAAGCATTGCAAAAATCAACCCCTAGTCCTCACATTCAAGTACTGTCAAGGCATTTAATTTTTTATTTTTAAATTCAAGCATCTTCAAGGACTTTCAAGAGTTTTACCAACGCTGAGTAGGTAATCTATTTGCCTTTAACTGCAAGGAGAAGGGAACTTTTTATCTATTATAGGTACCGAGTCATAGTTTGTTGCCAAATGTTCACCCGCGGGGAGTTGTCAGAAATCAGTACATCAAAGCAATATTGCTGTTCAATAATTCATATTGTTTTTAGTAGGAAAATCTCTGAATATTGAATATTGCTGAAGGCTACAACAAGAGAAGCAGTGATATCTACAGATTTAGTATATTAAATTAGAGGCATTTGACTTTCATTAAATACCTAGAAGGAATACACATATTTTGACCTTTTTGTGGTTTAAAAATAAGTCATACAAAAAACTGAAAAATGCATGAAAAACCTTGTGCATTCACTATTATTTCCTACAAGATTTTCGAGAATTGATTTGCTGTCAACTGAATCAGACAATATTCCTTCACTGCAATCTCTTTTAGAATCTAAACTTATTTCAGTTCCACAAACGTCAACAGGTTTTGGCAAATCATCTTACAGTAAATACTTGTTTAAAGATGAATTTTCTTATATTCTTTTGCCACACTGAATAAAATTAGATAAGGGGTTTGAATTCCAATAACTCCATGATTTTATTATGGGGTGGCAGAGTGAATAAACAGCCACAGCAAAACTCATATTGAACTTTCTGGTTGCACAGGCATATACAAAATTGTTGCAATTTTCAGATACAAGTGATTGAATGGCTCTATCAAAGGAGGTACAGTACTGATATCCTTCTATTTTAGCTTCTTGATGAATAGTACCGGTGTAGCTCTCACTGTATTGAAGTTCATAATCAGTCTCTAACACATTTAAAAGTGTGGGTAATTCTGTCTGCATTAAAAATAATTCTCTGGTTAACCGAGACAAACATGAATACAACTGATTTCCAATACTCATTGACATGAAATCGTTAGCAGAATTGATTCTTTGTTTGTTATTGTAAATCAAAGAGCATAAACTCATTGCAACACATTGTTGTCCTGAACTTTGTCCAAATATCAATTCATTAGCTTGGCTATATGGTGCCATTATTGTTTTACTAGGGTCAATGTACATTCGAATAGGACCAGAATTTTCTCAACATCTGAACTCAGTTGAAATTTACAATAGTTTGATGCGTGTGTCTGACTCTTATAATGACACAATGGTCTATCACAAGAAAACATTGTTAAATACCACCTTTCTCTATACTTTCATTATAGACCAATTTCATTATCCTCTGATACACCCTCACTGAACAATTCAACAAATACTTCTTATCATGTTTTGTAACTTTATTTAATGTTACCCTCTTCGTATTAAGCTTGCAAATATTCTTTGTAACTCCTCTAACCTTCATAACGACGTAACCAAGAGAACTTCGGTATGCTTGGACGAATACACTCATAAACAAATTCCTTCAGTTTTCTTCCCTTTCTTCTGAGACGTTTCAGAGTAGCTTCTGTGTTCTCGATCACGTCTAAATACACAGTTGTGTTTACATGTAAACATAATATGACATAACTCGTTTGATATAGCAGGTTTCGCTTGATATTTGTCGATAAAAGGTTCACTCGCTCGTAAATTGATCTCACGTAAAGTTCGCGGAACGACCCGTTCCCAAAGCGCTCCACAAGTATTAGTGCGGTTCTACCGCGAACAGTGTGTGACTTTGTATATACATTGGGCGTAATAGTGATCGAATTTCTTTCGGGTACATAACGCAAGGAATTGTCCACGAAGGTGGCCATTGCTTTCTTGAACCCTACGCTCTGGGTTCATTGCTTTAATGAACCCCACGCTCTGGGGTTTGTTCTACGCATACGCGTACATTTTGCGCATACGCTGTAGGATAACTGCGTTTTGTGACTGAACGAAAAAATAAACATAGCCGAATTTATACCTCGGGCGTTTCCTTCGGAAGCCCGAGTAAAAAGTATTTACTGAGATAAAGAGGTAAGGCTCCATCCAAGAGTTAGATTTTTGGCGCCAGAAACAAAAATAATCATAAAAGAGAGTAATCATAAAAGTATCAATAACTTTTAACGAAATCAGGAAATTTTGACATCGTTTAGAACCAGTTCCGTGAGTGTAATCCAAGGTCCATCAAGAAACACTACAATGTGAGTGAGCTGTAAGCATTGTCAACTTCCACCCCTACATGATAACCTATTCTGGCTGGCGATGGTCTGAACTAGAGCCTGCGGGACACCTACCAAATTCAGAAGACAACTGAATTCAATTAAAAAGGGCAAATCTGTTATATTTTATTCAGCCCGTCCAAAGTGTTTCCTTTATTCTACTGTAAGGTTTGGTGAGTCCGCTATGAATAACGAACTCAGTCAATTTTGGAAAGTTTTTATCAAACTAAAATGATCAACCGGTGAAAGATTTGGGGTACGATGGCTAATATACTGTAATTCATCAAAGTCTTAATTATCAATGTCTTAAAACCGTGTTGCTTCCTAAGAAAAAGTCAGAAAATCTAGCGGAAGGAAAGGTAGCTCGAGTAGTACAAGATATAGAGAACAGAAAAAAAACCAAGGCAAAAATTGGGATAACGAGCCCTAAAAGAGTAATGACCAGAAACTTTTTCACGATATCAGAGGAATGAAGTTGTACATTTTAGTACTATAGTGTTAAAGTTGAGTGTTAATTAAGAACCACTTAGAGGCAACGCATAACTGACCCAAAAGGCAAACTAGCTCATCAGCCTATCGGCCCAGTTTCCGGGAAAACAAAGGCATTTCCAGCTTTTAAGACAGGTGCTCTGAGCTAAAAATTTATTAAATTTCTAACATGTTTACATTACCTTAAATCTCATTTGATTGCAGTCCAGAGGACGCTCTTTAAGTTTTAGCAGAGGTGAAATACATATCTCACTCCGCTACGAGGCAAAACGACAAAGACTCAACCTCATCATTTTGAAAGCCACAAATCTGATCAGAACCAGCAAGTTCTTGAATGCTGGTGAGTGTGCTGCTTCTTGGTTGAGCAAGAATGTTAAAAAATTATGATTAAAAGAGGTTAAGAAGAGGAAGAAAAAAAATGTATTCGTTGCTACCTGCAACAGATAAATCCCACCATTTACTTAGGGTTGCGACCCGGCTTTTTCATATTTAGCGAGTTCGCAATCTGATGTCACAAGGCTTATACAAATATAAAGTGACCGTTTTAACATTGAAACGAGAAACTCACGGGAACCATTCAAATTTTGCTCCTCCTTTTAGCACCGTATGTGTGTGTAATCTTGGAGGCAGATGGTACAGTTTTGGAAACCAGACAAACTAAGAAGACACACGGAGTAAATGCGGTATGGAACCAAGGTTTCCTATTTGATGTCGAAGGCGATACCATAGATAAATACACTCTCAACATCCGAGTTTTGAACCATGATCTACTGACTACGGACGAGATCATCGGTGAAATGACAATTGGACCTCTGTGTGAGGGAACTGGTAAAGAGCACTGGGACGAGGTAATGAGAAAACGGCATTCAGGAAGAGAGGTGGCAATGACACACTTTCTGTCGTGATATCATGCATCTAAAACAGCAAAAATTCTTCGATCTCCAAAAAGTTGTCAATACATGAACTCTACATGTCTGTGAGGTTTGTAAGGTTTTCTGGTAATACAGTAAAAATCCGCGTATAAGACTCTAGTAATTAAGAACCTTTTTGGCAGAAATTTTGGATTTTAATACCCAAAAATATAAGAACCTGTTTACCCAGCAAAACCTGAAAGGTTCTTATACGAAGAGTCATTCTGGATAATGAAACAATATTGTAGCAAAATATGTCTAATTATAAAAATAAATGCTTTCTTTAAATTTGTTACTTCCATAAAACATGTCACTTCCATAAAACATGTCACAATACAATGGATATATCAACAAGGTCGAAGTGGTAAATTGGCCACCGTAACGATTACAAAAGCTGACGTTTCGAGCGTTAGCCCTTCGTCGGAGCGAAGGGCTAACGCTCGAAACGTCAGCTTTTGTAATCGTTACGGTGGCCAATTTACCACTTCAACTTTGTTGATATATCCAAGTTATTTCGTTACTCCCACCGACGCAGCCACAAGCAGTTTCTTTGGAAACTATCAGCCTTTATTCATGTCACAATACAGTTTCCCCACTGTATTTATGGCTCCCAGTCATGTATTAAAGCAAGTTCAAAAAAATGTACTCCTGGGTATAAACTTCTAAATTGTATAAATAAGTACATTGTTCAGTACACAGTGAATTGTACAGTATAGTATAGAAAATTAAGTCTGGCTTGTCCTCACATCTGAAATATTGAGGCTAAGAACCTATTAAGAACCTGTTTTGGCTAAGTTGTTGGTAAATACCCCAAAACATAAGAACCTATTTTGCCAGACATGAAAAAAGCTAGGTTCTTACACGCGGGTTTTTACTGTATAACTATTTCAGCGGTACATTATGCTTACCGCATGCAACGTTTACTGGGAACCACTAAAGAAATGGCAAGATCGAAGAAAAAACAAAAGTATATAACAGCAAATTTCAATAGATATAGTTTAATATATTATTTACCAATTATCATAACTGTTTATCAACGAGGATTGTATTTACAGTTTTGCATGAAAAACAATAAATTAACATTCATGACAGGATGTAACAGATGTGATCCTATCCAAGCGTGATGGGGCTGGGATTCACACAGCTTGTGCCCTCATAGTCCAACCTGGCAAAACGAAAAGCGATATGACATTAAGCGTACTTTATTCTTGAAAGAGGCTGGAAGAAAAGAGCGATTCTCTGTGAGAAAAAAAGCTGATTTTAACACATTCGTTTTCCAGCCATAAGGATAAAAAAAAGGAGAAAAAGACTTAGGCTTAATGCTGGAAACTGAAACTGAAACTGAAACTGAAAACTTGATCAAAGGATAACTTCAGTGTTTCACCACATTTCTTAAGTAGGAGGCGGCGTGGCCGAGTGGTTAGGATGCTGGACTTGAAATCCGGTGGCCCGGGTTCAAGTCCTCCACCCTGCCACTCACTGGATTTGTTCTCGATTGGCCCTAGATCAACTCTTTGGCTGCGCTCTGTAAATAGCCCACTGGTCTGCCTCCTGTCAGGGGGAGCACTTAACGTATATTATTATTATAACTAATATTCCAGGAAGCAGTACACCTGAAATGAGTATAATAAAGATAATGGGCGATGTAGTTCAAATTACAGTAAACACCAACCTATCAATTGGGCTTCTCTTGCATGGTGCATGGTGACATGAAACCAAAACTCTTACTCCTGAAAGGGCAATTGTTAGGCAATCATTCCACAAACACGAGATAAATAAGTCTTACTGTAATTATCTCAAATAAAAAAAGACCAACTGTCGATAACCATAATCTTGCTCATTCTATTTTGGAAAAATATGGAAAACGGAATTAAGATGTATAAGTGTTTGGTCACGATAAATTGGCCAATATTCCATACTAAACAAAAATAATCAAAGTTGTTGAATTGTACTATTTAATGATCCAGTTTTAAATAAACATGCCCGAAATCCTTCGTTTCACTCTTCCGGATTATGAAAGCATCAAGAAAAGACGCGCCGCTGAACATTAACCAGACTGTTCCGGCAGAACAGTGATATTCGGCTAAAGGATGGATATGTTGTAGTTCAATTTTATACTTGTGTTTCAACGTAACCTATCAATCACGACAGTACAAACAAACAAACAAACAAACAAACAAAGACTAGACTGAAAATGCTGCGGGGCCTACTCGTTATGATGTGCATACGTTCTTTGATGCCCCCTGAAGACCATAATAGTAGAATGGCAAGAGACAACCTCGTCCCCGGGTTCACTCGCTTCTTCCCTCGAGGCAGTTACTTAAAGACCCCAAGTAAAAATCTGATCTAGGGCTGGAACCCTCGACCAACTGAATTTACCAAGAATTGAAGCCGAACAAGGTGAGTTTTGACAAAGAGGTTAGAGCGTTGGCAAGTTGTCCTAACTGACTTAATTGAGTGCACATGTTAAGTTAGTTATCTTTTTCAGAAAACTTACCTTTTCCGCTCTGATGTCGTTTTGTTCTCGCGCTTCCTAAGACTCAAAATCAAATCAACCTGTACGGCTTTTCTAAACACAGAAATACAAGTTTTATAAATTACCCATTGAATTTTGTGCCGTGCGGTTGCTTCTTGTTGTAGCACAACGGAACCTACCAGACGTGAGGTGCAGGCAGGTTAATTACTTTTACTCGTCAGGGCTGATCAGGATAGATAAACGGGACGAAATTCTTTGATACCGAGTTTGCATCCCAATGAACATCAACGCAAACACAGAACCTCACAAATGCGAGTAATTGACTCGACTAGTTGGATAGTACAGATTAATGACAATCAGAAGCATGCAGATGGCTACATGTTCATGTAAAGCCTGGCAAACCACTTATCGTGCTTTTCTACAAGAACTAGATATTCTACATTCCTGAATCTGTACTGGCTACTTGTAAGTTGGAATTTTTATCATAGCAATAAATGATCGGCTGCAATTTGTATCATTTCCCACAAAGTAGTTGCAAACACAGACTTACTCCTCAGCTGCTGTTTTCATTCTGCAGAGTTCTTCCACCTGGTTTCGCAGTTCGTCCCGTTCACATTCCAAATGTTTACTGCAAAGACATTTGGTAAGGCCATGACTTACACTGAGAATAATTTTAACATTTGAAATAAACATATAAGGTCAAAAAACAGATGAACACAACAGTTTATTAGAAAGGAAAAAAAGTACCTTTTGACTTCCAAGGCAACTTTTTGAGCTGTTAACTGCTTGACTTCCATTTCAAGTTTGGAGTTTGTACCTAACAACGGAAAGAGAAAGGTAAAGTTCATCCTTGAAAATAGGATTATTCGTATGTTTAGTTCAGTGAAACGCCTACAAAGGTAGAAACAAAGTTTTACACTGAGCAAACTTATTTAGCCGAGATGTAAGAAGCAACAAGGCGCTTAGGATTGATACTGGGCTAGCTTTTTATTTGCCGTCTTTATATACTCAAATCACATGCCCTTTAAGTTACACCAGCAAACCGCCCATAACGCCCAAGCAACTCCATAAATATTAAAATACTTGGTTTTGTAGACGTCTTCAACTTCGGAAGCATTCAACTTACCAAACAACTGATCATCATCTTCACTGTGCACCTAAAGGGAGGGGGGGGAGGGGGATCAGGATGAGTAATGGTTCTAATTTATCAAGACATTCTCGCCATTGATAGATTTGCGATGGAATCAATGAAACATCAACGTAATGAATGAATCTTACGAGAAAAAAGATCAGACGATTGACCGCATTGGGCAAAAATAACTTTAACTTAATAAAAAAAACAAAAACAAAAACAAAACAAAAAACACAAAAGCAGGCGGATAAGAACAAATGAGCTCGCAACAGCATAGTTCGATAGAAAGGTGTTAATCTTGACGCAGCAATCCACTTAATATAATGAATCAAATTGAAATTGGATGAATCAAATAAAAAAACTACCGAAACCTGAAAAATATTTTCTTTTTCAAACTTGATTCTGTCTTGCTGCATCTGTCGTGCTATCTCTTCTTCATAGGCTTCTCTCAGATGCTAAAAATAATGTACAAGTTTTTTTGTTCGGATCATATAATTTTAATCATAAATTATCAAACTCGAGGTATGAGCCGTCTGCCAAAGCAAAAGGCAGAGGCAGATAACACAGACACGAGGTTTGATGGTTCCTATCATGCGAAAACCGAATCCAAATATTGTTTTATCACATACTTTTAAAAGCATTCAGCCATTTTGAGTTTCTCCCTGAGTTTGAACTTTATAGAGGTGAGAAAACATTACAAATGAAATAAACGAGGATGGTTAACCATGACAAATGAGACACAATTCACTTGATACACAAGTGTGAGGTAGCTCCTTGAACTCCAATGATAAACAACTTCTGCTACCTGCATGCCATGAAGCAGGTCTTGAAAGTTTTGCAGTGCTGAATCCCTATCGGCTGTAAGATCCTCTAGTCGTTTGCTTAGATAGTAGTCTTTGGCTGCAACCATTTTAACGTCCATACAATCCGTGTGACAACTTTCTGCTGAGAGGCAGCATGGACTACAACTTCTATGAGGCAAGAAAACATGATACTGAACAGTCTGCTGAACAGTCTGCTGTACACCACTCAACAATAGTTAGCAATAGACAGCTCAAGTTTCCTCTGTGCCTGACATGGATTTGGAGAGCTTCAAAAAAAAAAAGAAATCAAGCATTCCCTGGCCCGCGGGTCATATTGATAACAGACGTAAGCCTGACCTACAAGCTAACTTTATAAACTCTATTTCTGACCACAAGACTGACAAAAAGTCGAAACGTTGCAATCTACAACGAAAGTGACCACACCGTGACTGCACTTACTTTTTAATGTCGCCATCAGATCTTCTTCTGGTTAACTGATGGCTCTTGGCCCGCCCTGTTGACGTCTCTACTGTGTTACTTCTCTACAGTAAAATAAATCAAAACATTAACCTGAAGTGATCAAAACTTGATCAAAATAAAATGTTACATTAAATAATCCCTCATCTGACAATAGTACGACAAGTAAAAGAGGGCGAGGGAGAAACTTGCACGCTGCATATACATCTATACTTGAGGAAATCAAGTTGTGCCTGCAAGCACCGCCACGGCAAATCAACGTGAATACTTAATCTCCCTCGAAATGCAATGGAATGCCACCTGCTGGGTTGAAGACGAAAGTACAGACTCCAGCTCTGTAATCTCCAAGCATCTTTAAGCTAACTCGTCTCTTAGAGTACAAATCATTTGGCTCCTGAAAGAAAGTGAAAAGACATCAGGTTGTTTCGTTGTGGAGTTAATGGTGTGGGTATTTCCAAATTGTTTTCACGTTACCGATGCAATACCTAGTTCGGGTTGATTCTGACCTGCTTGAGGTGATAGCTGCAAGATCGGCATAGTCATTACGTAAATGCGTCAGCTCCTCAGCCCATTTCTGCGACTAAAATAGAAGGGAGAATACTTTAATTGGTCAACAAGAGGCAAAAACAGCCATCTTTCCTGCTAGTTGAAAAAACCTAAAAAAGCAAAGTGTGTCTAGTGAACGACAGCGTGTTCCTTTTCTTCTAAGGTGGAGAAGCGGGAGCTAACAGGAAGCCGCGAGAAGCCATAGATCTTGAGGGAGCAGCTGAGTTGTCTGACTAAGTTAATACCTTGATTAAGTTTTTTATATATCCGTAAATTTTCTTCATAATGGGTCGACTAGCACGTATGGTTCGTCAGTTCCCTTCTAGTCTTCCCCACTGCCTTGTTATGTAACCCAATTTGTTATTATTGTGTGTTCTTTTGTTTTATTTTCCCATGTAATTGCAGTGAAATGGAATAAATAAAAAAAAAAATAATGCAGACTACAAATGCACTCGGCATTACCTTGGCCAAAAAGGAAACGGAATTGACCAGTAGGCAGGTTACTGTATTGACCAATACCTTAACAACATTAATGAACACAGAAACATACAGATCGATGTAATGTATAATGCGCAAAGAACGTGCCTACAGACTCGGTTATATCCCATTTAAATTCCCCTTGATTCAGGGACCGCGAAGCAAGGTGTAAATGGGGAGAAAGGCTGATAGTTTCTAAAGAAACTGTTTGGGGCTGCGTCGGTGGGGGTAACGAAATAATTTGGATAAATCAACAAAGTTGAAATGGTAAATTGGCCACCGGAATGATTCCTAAAGCTGACGTTTCGAGCGTTAGCCCTTCGTCGGAGCAAAGAGAGGAATTGTGGGTTGTGTGTGCTTTTAAAGGCAGAAAATGGAGCTACGTTATTGGTGGGAACATGGCAACGAGAAAAACACGAATAAATTAGTCGAATGAAAAGTACATATGATGCACGATCCTCGCAGTAGAGAGCCTTTGAAAGATGAGCTTTTGTTCAAGAGTTTTACGGCTTTCCGTGCTACCTAAGTGTAAGGAAAGACCGCAGATTGCCATATGTTGCTTAGAATGATTAGGTAAATTAAAATGTCTAGCGACTGGTTTCGATGTGTCCATGTCATTCCTTTCCACGTCGCGAAGGTGTTCTCGGAATCGGTCACCTAGTCTTCTGCCTGTTTCGCCGATGTATATCTTTTTGCAATAAGTGCAAGTTATGCAATAGATTACATTGGCGGAGGTGCACGTGAAGTGATCGGTGATCTTAATGGATTGTTTGGGTCCCGATATTTTCTCAGCGTTGTGAATGAAAGGACACGTTTTGCATCGTGCACGAGCGCATTTAAAAGTCCTGGTTGGTCATTAGTCTGAAAAGAACCTCTGACCAGAAAATTGCCTATGTTTTTGTAGCGTTTGAATGAAATGAGCGAAGGCTGCAAAAAGATAGTGCTTGTCTCTGGATCAATTTGAAGTAATTTCAAGTTTTTAAGAATGATGGATTTAACTGAGTGGTTGTGATGGTGAAACGTGAGAGTGAATGTAAAGTGTGAGGGCTGACAATTGAAAATAATTTTTTCATATTGAAAATCGAAAAAAAGGAACAAAATCATAGTATTTAATTTGTTTCTGTCCCGTGACTTTACATACTTTACCCAGTATTTATTGCTCTTTATAGGTCGGCATTAGTCAAGATTCCGAAATTCTTAATCATTTTTCTTTTAGCACAAAAAGTGGGGGAGGGGGCGCAAAAAAGTGCTGGGGCCGTGGCCCTACCAGCCCCTCCCCCTCTGCGGTCCCTGTGATTAATAGTTTTAGCAACATTCATACTCTTTTGTCGTAGTCTAAACTAAAAACGCATTATTAAAATTGGAAGATGTTTGGGGTTGTCCTTCAGTAGCACGTTGATTAAGTGGACGATTCGATTGAGGCCTCGAGCTTGTGTATTTCTTTTTATTCCAAGCTTTTGCTAATCTACGGCATCGTCAGGGAATGTAAAGAAAAGTACTCCACTATGCAACTCATTGTCGTTACTATATAGTCTAATTATCCGTATCACCTAGATCACTTTTATATCATGCATAGTGGAATATGGCGAGAGCTTAGGATAAAAAAAGAAATGCAGATGGTCGAAGCCTAAATGGAATCGTTCGTTTTAAAATTGGATTTAAAATTTAAAGTATCGCTTGAATTTAGGCTGAAAATATGATATGAGTATAAAATAACGCCAGTTTTAGTTTCATTAGTTAAAGCTATCCATTTAATTGTCATTGATAGTAGCAAGGAAAGCGTTTATTGGTTACAGGGTATAAGTTTAAAAGCCAACCGAACTATTTGTTAATTGTGTACGTCATCTAATCGAACATTTATGTCTTTCCCGTGTGTTTTAGAGCTTAGACGTTTTGTTAACAGTTTGGGCAAGTCTAATTTGAAAGTGATAGAGTTATGTATCAAATTAGTTTTTATTACGTCTTCACTTTATTCATGCTCATAGTATTTCACCTTTAGTAATAAAGTCAGTTACTTTCTTTATCAGCGCATCTTTCGTGCCGTTACTGTCTTGAGTCAAAACCTTTCAACAACAAGGAAAATAACAAAAGAAAACCAAATACAGCACAAATTAAATGTTTTGTTTTTCAAAACAAGTAAGTTGCTATGGTAATGATGATACCGCTAGTACATAAACTTTTCTCGACTTAGCCTAAAAAAAACTCGACAAAAGTTTTTCACCTATTTAAGACTTGAATAGACGATTGATTATAAAAAAAAATGCTATTTGTAAAAGCAGAGAAAAGGTATCTCCAGCTGTTGCCCTAATCGAGGCGATTTGGTTACGATTCATATGTAAGTTCAAAGGATGAAGACAGTATCTTTAACTTCATTTGAAATATATCTCGTATTAAATGTTTTGGAGGTCCTTTCCCTGCATTATTAATGAAATAACCTCACATCTACTCTCCTCCCCCCAACTGTTTTCCCTTTCACACTTGTTAGAGAATCTTCTTGAAGTAAAAATCTGTTAGAAAGAGCTATGATCATATGACTTCACTCACAATACCTGTTGATGCGTATATTCTAACTCCTGTGACTGTTCCTCAAACTGTTTATCCTAGGTGAGAAAAAAGGTCACGGGAGATATATAACATGTCTTTTGATAAAAAAAGCTGCGCCGTGTGCAATATGAAGCGAATCCTGTGTTCTGATTGGCTACCCGGGTGGGCAAGCTGGGCTCCTATTCCACTCTCGGGATTGCCCACTTTGATCCCGCTCAAGAAAAAAGAGTGTGTGGAGCGGATTTACAAAGTATGTAACTTTTGGGAAATGTCAGCAGCGAAGTCGCAAACAGCGACAGGAGACAGTAAAAACAAATGAAACATAAACGACCCTCGTGGGTTTATTGAGCTACAAATACAGTTGCCTTTCTTTCCCAGCTCAGGAAATAAATAAGTCATCCTTGATTCTTGATAAAGGGAAATCTTTTTGCCAAGCTTGTTCAGTCAAGATGGGCCGAGAAAAAAGGAACTCAGCCAATATCCAGCTATCTCGACCTCAAGCTTGGTCAATAACGCACATTCCTGTAACAACTCTGCATATTGTATCACAGAGCAGTAGAGAAACCACGTTTAAAACGATGCAAATTAATAAGATAATTTTGGTTCTATCGACTGAGTTGATAATGAAAATTGGTAACCCTAATCATTCCAAGCAGCATATGGTAGTCTATCTAAAAGCGTAGCTCCATTTTCTGCATATAAACACACACACAACCCACAATTTCTCCACGCGCTCTGACGAAGGGCTAATGCTCGAAACGTCAGCTTTGAAACTCTTTAGGGTGACCAATTTCCATTATCAACTCAGTTGATCATGAAATCAAAATTACCTTCTAGTTGTTATACTCTCCCACTGACGCAGCACCACAGTTTCTTTAGAAACGTACCCCCTTTATTCAACGAAATTAAGATCCCGTTTGCTCATTGTGGCAGCAAAACTACTACAACGAGTTAAAAGAAGCTTAGCTAATGATTCTTTAAGTATATATAAAACAATTACCTTAATTTCAAGCACTTCCCATATTTTACTGAGTTCTGATTTCACAGTCTTCAATTCAAGGCAAACTTCATCAAAAGACACCTGTTGAAAATAGCATATGACAATACATAATAGGCTCATTACAATTGCGCTTTCCGATTGGTTGGCAAAGTGAACAAACGTATAGGACTGTTCACTACATAAAGGCTCTCTGGACACTCAGAAGGAAACTCACTTGTACAGCTGTATATTGGGTTCATATGATAATGTGATAAAAACACAATTTCAAGCATGTTACTTCCGCACTTACAACAAAATGGCTTACCGCACGACCAATAAGAGATGAATATCTACAAATAATCAGTTTATGAGTATTGTGTAGCGTCACGCATGTTGGTAATAGATTTTTATACGAGATGTGCCTACTTTCATATCCTCTTTGACCTTGTTTACTGCCTCCTCCTTTTCAAGTTCAAGCTTTCTTCTGACATCGATTATCCCATTCACAGCAGGCTACAAAAAAACATTTTAGATCATCACTTTTGAAGTCTCGAGAATCTCACGCGACAGGATGTTGACAGAGTTATCAATTTAAAAAAAATTAGACCTTGACAGTACCCTTGTTTTCAATTCATCCCTGAGTTGACTATTCTCTGCTCTAAGTTCGGCCAGTGTCATTCTCAGTTCACTCCTTTGAAGTGACCATACTTGTTGCTTTTCTTGCAGCTTGTGAAGTTCCGTTGTTAGCTCAGTTTTTTCCGATTCTAACCTTTTGGTAGAAAGGTGAATGGAAGTAAGAAAGAAAGAAACCGTGGGAATGCCAAGAAGCACAGTTTAAGTGCAACCCAATTGGTGATACCGATGACTCTGCCAGGAAACTGTTTGTACCATGAACCAATGAAAATATGGGCACTATAAACGGGAAACTATGTATAGTTAACTATATATTTAGAGCTAAGTAATATCACGTCTTCCTTTTCTCGCTAGATGTGTGCACTGAGAATGTGATCCCGAAACATAATTGACTTAATTATATCCTATAGCAGGTGGAAAAGAACTTCCTAAGATGCAATGTGCTAAGTTAACGCCCAAGTCGCAAATGGAGGTTAGGTGCTCAAGGGCCCGAGGGCTACAACCACAGTCGCACCCAAGGCACTAGAACACCTGACTGGCCTGACCAACCAGCAACCCAGCCACGAGCACCCCGCGCCGAACCCAGACAAGCACCCGTCACACTAGAGCCGGAACAAATATAACCAACTTAAACCCCTTAACAAAAGCAAAATGAGAAGGGAGGGAGGGAACACCGAGAAGCTATTCTCACGGAAGACAACGCTACGCTATCGTAAAGGCAACAAAATGTAAGCACATGGGAGAACCAACGCATGTACAGATAAAGGTAACCGGTGGACACGATCCGTCCCAGGCCACCAACAGCCACATGTTGCTACAACGCTACGGAATGCACACAAATGCCAAGCAAACGCTAACTGAGTACTAATACGCTAACAGTACGCCAGCCAAACATAACAGACCAGATTTGGTCCTAGTCGTTAACTATGTTAAATTCCATTTAACAATATGTATTGGGAGTTACAACATCCAAAGATCAGAAATGGAAAGATAGGGTAAGCAAATATGCGCTTGCATTTCTTAGTGCTCCTTAAGAGGACCGGTGTTAGCCACCAGGACATTATACAATTCTGTTGTATAGTTATAAGACCCGTATTAGAGTATTGTACACCTATTTTCCACCAAGGCCTTCCTGAATGCCCAAGTAATTCTAGATTTTTAGCTCTTGATCTTTTTCCATAATTAATCAGTTTTTAATCTTTTTCAATAATTATTTGTAATATATTTTAAGAGGGCCACTGGTTTGTCAGTTTTATACTGTTATGTGTTTTACCCTCTTTAAATAAAGTTGATTATTATTATTATTATTATTATTAAGTGAAGACCTCGGGGGTGTTCAAAAAAGAACCATGTCAACAATTGCGCCTCACCAAGCGTCTAAATAATCCCTAGGTGGCTATGGACTCAGAGACTCTATGCAAAAGACGCGAACGAACCATAGTCTCGCCCCCCTACTCCCCCAAAGTCATCAAGACTCACATAGCTTGAGTAGCAAAACACCTTTCAATCTGCCAAGATACCACACTGACGTTTTCAAGAACTCACTCATCCCGACCATGTGCCATAGAGTAAATGGCAATGTCTCATAAACCGCAGTGATCTTAGCCACTAATTTGTACAGAACACTTTACTTATATAGAGACCCTTGCTAAAGAGCCCAAGTTTTAATTGTACCATAATTATATTGTAAATAATTATTCAATTCAGCCTTTTGCTGCGACTTAGTTATTTCTATTAAACTATCCATCTATCTATCAATCTGTCTGTCTGTCAGCTTGTCTATCTATCTATCTATCTATCCACCTCTGTATCTATCCATCTATCTATCTATCTATCTATCTATCCACCTCTGTATCTATCCATCTATCTATCTATCTATCCACCTCTGTATCTACCTATCTACCTATCTATCTATCTTTCTATCTAACTATCCACCTCTCTATCTCACTATCCACCTCTCTATCTATCTATCTATCTATCTATCTATCTC